AAGCATATTCACACCCATGCACGCACACACATACACACTGAAGGCCAGGATTGCTGGCTCCACAATTTAGTAACATTTATATTAAGATATATAGTGGTCACTGTGATATAATAAATCATAAAGGAAACCAAATCACAAAGGAGATGGTGTGGCTTAGCAAGGAAACAGTGCAGGAAATGTAGGTTACCAACTAAGCAGCTTTTGCTCTTAGTACTGTTACAAGTTATAAAATTCCAATGGAATGAGGATATACAAAAAGTGAACATTATTGGTTCATGTAAACATGATGTTGGCTATTATCAGTGCTTATTTGTTCTTGCTTTTGTCTCTGCCTCACCTGCCTAACAGCTTGTTCTTTCACTTTGCTTTCTTCCTGAGGCTGGAACTATAGCCAGCTGTAAGTTCACTTCATTCCAGATGCATAAGCAAAGGAGAAAGGATCTTCAATTACACCTCTCAAACGCACATTCATTATGTGCAAATGGGAAATATCTCAAGGAAGGACTCAGGCCCAACTTGGGTCACCCACGCAACTATTGGCCAGTCACTGTGATACAATTTTGTAGACCGGTTGTGAGTGAGGAAGTAGAATTTAAAAACCTTTTCTAGAACCACATAATTGAAGGGAGGGGGAAAAGTTCTCTCTAAATGATTTTGGATGCACAGTTACCAGAAGAAGAGATAATAAGGAGAACAAAAGGGAAAAAATAAAAACAGAAACAGTATATACTCTAGGAGGCATATATGGAGTAACATAGAAATTTAGAAGAAAGAGATTATTTCTTAGAAGAATTCAGTGAAATCTAATGGAGTCTTTAAAAAATGAATGGATATATACTCTCAGTGGTTGCAAAGAACATTTCAGAAGGATAGGTAGTACCAGCTTGAAAATATGAGTTCAGTGTAGATGTTTTAAAAATTTAAAAAGCAGGGTAAAGTATAGTTAACTACATTTTGAAATTAATTTTTTTTTTAGTTTAGTTTAGTTTAGTTTTAGTTTTGAGATGGAGTCTTGCTGTCTTCCCAGGCTGGAGTGCAGTGGCGCAATCTAGCTCACTGCAAGCTCCGCCTCCCGGGTTCACGCCATTCTCCTGCCTCAGCCTCCGCGAGTACCTGGGACTACAGGTGCCCGCCCCCACACCCAGCTAATTTTTTGTATTTTTAGTAGAGATGAGGTTTCACCGTGTTAGCCAGTATGGTCTTAATCTCCTGACCTCATGATCCACCCGCCTCAGCCTCCCAAAGTGCTGGTAGCTGGGTTACAGGCCTGAGCCACTGCGCCCAGCCTGAAATTAATAGTATTATAGTCCACATGAAGCAGATGAGGAACATCAGAACCATCTTTAAATATATCAGTCTTGTAGATGTTTGTGAATTAAATTGACTGACAGAGACAGACATAGCAAGAAGTTATTTCAATGATCTATGTAAAAAGCCTTGAGAGCCTGAATGTAAGGAGAATAATACCAAGATAAAAGCAGAATCTTGCTCTGGACATTGCCAAATATTAAATACCATCCCTAGTTATTTGTGAGTGATATTTTAATGATTATTGCCATTTTCCTCTTTCTTCCCCATTCTCCAAAACTGCATTATTATAATATACAAACCAAGGTTATGGATTACCTCCTCTTAATTATCTTAAAAGAGATAACATTTGTGTGCTCAGCACACAACTAAGTAGTCTAATTTAGTGCATTTTATTTTATTTATTTTAGAAAAGAAGACTTTCAAAAGGAGAAAAATCTACTGCCAAATAACTCAGCACCTCTTACAGAACCACAAGATGTGGAAGAAAGTCATTGAAGAGGAGCAACGGTTGGCAGGTGTTGAAAATCAATCCCTGGACCCGACCCCTCAATCGCACTCTTCAGAACAGATCCAGGCTATCAAGGAAGAAGAAGAAGAGAAAGGGAAACCAAGAGGGGAGGAGATACCAACCCCAAAGCCAGACCAGTGACAATGGATAGAATGGGCTGTGTTTCCAAACAGATTGACTTGTCAAAGACTCTCTTCAAGCCAGCACAACATTTAGACACAACACTGTAGAAATTTGAGAAGATGGGCAAATGGCTATTGCATTTTGGGATTCTTCGCATTTTGTGTGTATATTTTTACAGTGAGGTACATGTTAAAAACTCTTTGCTCAAAGAAGCTTTCACATTGCAACACCAGCTTCTAAGGATTTTTTAAGGAGGGAATATATATGTGTGTGTGTATATAAGCTCCCACATAGATACATGTAAAGCATATTCACACCCATGCACGCACACACATACACACTGAAGGCCAGGATTGCTGGCTCCACAATTTAGTAACATTTATATTAAGATATATAGTAGTCACTGTGATATAATAAATCATAAAGGAAACCAAATCACAAAGGAGATGGTGTGGCTTAGCAAGGAAACAGTGCAGGAAATGTAGGTTACCAACTAAGCAGCTTTTGCTCTTAGTACTGAGGGATGAAAGTTCCAGAGCATTATTTGAATTCTGATACATCCTGCCAACACTGTGTGTGTGTGTGTGTGTGTGTGTGTGTGTGTGTGTGTGTGAAAGAGAGACAGAAGGGAACGGTTTGAAAGGGTGCTTGTGTGCATGTGTGTGCATATGTAAAGAGATTTTTGTGGTTTCAGTAACTCAGAATAGCTGTAGCAAATGACTGAGTACATGTGAACAAACAGAAGGAAGTTCACTGTGGAGTGTCTTTGGGAGGCAGCCATTCCAAATGCCCTCCTCCATTTAGCTTCAACTTAAGGGCCTTTTGCAGTTGGAGGGCACTGAAGGGCTGGGTGAGAGGGCCACATGTTTGGTATTACATTACTGTTATGCACCACTTGAAGGAGCTCTATCACCAGCCTCAAACCTGGAAGACCGAGGCATTTTCCAGTCTACTTGCCTAATGAATGTATAGGAGCTGTCTGTGATTATGGATGTCACTCAACTGAGATCAAATCACCATTTAAGGGGATGGCATTCTTTATCCATAAACACCTAGGAAAGAGCTGGAGTCAGGTCTTTCAGTCAGGTTAGAATTCTAAATGATGCCAGAGAAGGCTTGGGAAATTGTACTTCAGTGTGATCGCCTGTGTCTTCTTAATTTGCTGCAAAATGTGTGGTAGAAGAAGAAAAGGAAACAGAAAAATCACTCTGGGTTATATAGCAAGAGAGGAAGGAGATTATTTCAACCCAGGGTTTTTGTGTTGATGTAGGTAAAGCCTGATTCTTGGCAACTGTTGTAGTTTGTCTTTCAGGGGCAAAGGTCCCGCTGACAACCCCTGTTGTGGTATCCACACGCTGTTTGTCCGGGTAGCCTCCATCGGCAATCTGGCCCATTGTCAGTCATTTTGTCGGGGTAGCCTCCATCGGCAATCTGGCCCATTGTCAGTCATGATTCTTCTGGCAGGGGAGATTATAGAGAGATTGTTTGAGGATCGGGTTATTATTGAAAGTCTTTTTGTTTGTTTTGTTTTGGTTTGTTTGTTATCTACACTTGTTTATGCTGTGAGCCAAACCTCTATTTAAAAAGTTGATACTCACTTTCAATATTTTATTTCGTATTATTATATATGTCATGATAGTTATCTTGATGTAAATATGAAGATTTTTTTGTTTCTGTAGATAGTAAACTCTTTTTTTAAAAAAGGAAAAGGGAAACATTTTTATAAAGTTATACTTTAATCACCATTTTTATACATTGTAGTTCTCTCCAAGCCCAGTAAGAGAATGATGATTCATTTGCATGGAGGTCGATGGACAGCCAATCATCTACCTATTATAATTTAAATGATAATCTGATATAGTTTTTTTTTTTTTTTTTTTTTGCCAATTAAATGAGGATGCTGCAAAGAATGTTTTTTTCACTAGTAACTTTTGCTAACTGAATGAATTCTGGGTCCATATCTCCCAGATGAAAGACTGTTAGCCAATACCATATTTTTATAGTTGGTGTCCATTTCTTTCCAACACTGTTTGGTTATGATTCTTCCTTCAGTACTATATATAGACCTACTCATTATCTAAACAATCTTAGCTTCTATGTAAACCTTGATTGTGATTTCCAGTTTTTATTTTCTCTGACGTAGTAGAAAGGAATGTTTACATTAAAAATACTTTTATTTCTCGTAAATGGATATTGTACTCTCCCCTTTCGAAGCATTATTTTACAGTAATTCACGGCATTTTAAAAAATAAGGCAAAGATAATACAACAAAAAATATTCATGGTTTCAAGGCAAATTCTCCAATAAGTAGGAAAATGTAAAAAGGATCAAGTGGATGCAGCCTCTACCTAAATAATTAAAATATATTTCAGTAGATTTCTGAATTAACACCAGGTCTTCATTTTTTAGAACTTACCTAATTGTTTTCATTTCCTTAGTTTTGCCTGTGTGTCTCTATGTTTGCAAAAATTATGAGTCAAATTTTGCCAGTGAATTTAACTCTTTTCCTTTCATTGCAATTAAGAGAAGGGGGAGAAAAGCATTTATCTTCTCATACCCCTTGTGTCTAATTACTTAACAAAGCCAATATTTTCCCATCTTCCAAAGCCTGTCCATCTCTAACATAAATGTTAATTGAACATAAAGCTACGTTTGGAGTGAGTGGACTGGCAGGACAGTTGGAAGCCCATCACAGTCTGTTGGCAGTTTCATCAAAGCTGTATAGTCCAATTAGCAGGGCATCTTGGCTACTATAGTGGAAGTCTCAGCAAACTGCCTGGTTTTGTTTGTTTGTTTTGTTTTAAGGTACAGGAAATAAGAGGAATAATAGTGGCCAAAGCAATTAGAACATCTTCATTCCAGAACTGTGTTCATCAATCCAGGAAGATTGATACATTTTTCTTTAAAAATAAATTACTATTACAGCTAGAAGTCAATTGGGATAAATAAAGGGATGAAGATCCACCAAGTATGTGACTTTCGTACACACCCAGTACATCTCAAAGGATGCTAAGGGACATTTTCTGCCAGTAGAGTTCTCCCCCTTTTAGGTGACAGCAATATTATTATGTTCACATCCAAATCCAGAGCTTACTTCCTGTGGTGCCAATGTATTTGTTGCAATTTACTACATTTTTATATGAGCCTATTTATAGGTGCCATTAAATAAACTCAGGTCTTTCAAATGAAAGAGTTTCTAGCCCACCTAGGGAAAAAGATAATTGTTTAGAAAACCATAAAATCAATGGTAGGAAAAGTTGGAACTGGTTACCTGGATGCCATGGTTCTCTGTTAAGTAAAAACCAGGTATATTCTGAGTGTCATCAGTGTTATTTTCAGCATGCTAATAAACGTCTTTCCAGTTATATATCTAAATTAACCTTTAAAATATTGGTTTCCTTGATAAAAGCACCACTTTTGCTTTTGTTAGCTGTAATATTTTTTGTCATTTGTATAAGACCTGGTTTGGCTCTCAATAAAAGATGAAGACGGTAGCTCTGTACAGGTATATATCTATATTAGTCTTCATCTGATGAACGAAGAAATTTTCTCATATTATGTTCAAGAAAGTATTTACTTCCTAAAAACAGAATACCAAATTCTGTCTATTTTGGTTGAATACCAGAACAAATCTTACCGTTGCAATCCCAGTTAAACTAAAGAAAAGGAATATCTTACAGACTGTTCATATTAGATGTATGTAGACTGTTAATTTGCAGTTTCCCCATATTCCCTGCCTATCTTACCCAGAGAACTTTCTTTGAAGGTAAAAGCTGTGCAAAAGGCATGAGACTCAGGCCTACTCTTTGTTTAAGTGATGGAAAAATATAAATTATTTTCTAAGTAATAAAAATATAAAAATTATCATTATAAATAAAGTCTAAAGTTTGAAATTATTAATTTATAAAAGTGAACTAATTGTGTGATTATCAAATCTTGATTAATGAGAAGTGAATGATCTAAAAATCATTTATATTCTACTGTGGGAGGTATTCTTGGTGCTTCCATGTCAGTAAGGGGCTCTCCGTTGTCCTCGTCATTTATAGTACTTCTAAAATAATAATGGAAACCTCAATAAGGGTCTTGTCCTCTTCTGTCATCCTAACCCTGATTCTAGTTTAATGCCTTTGCTGACTTATATGCCATTTGCAAATCAACTGCCTTTCAAACTGTTAGAACACGCCAATAAAACAAAGTTCTATGAACTTTCATAGTCTAGAAACACCAACCAGATCCCCGTTATTTAGCAATTATTAGCTAATGTGTGGAAGAAATATCAATAAAAGTTCAAATGCTAATAGCTCAATTCCAGATAATTGAAAGCTAAAATATTTATGTACTTTGAAACGAAACTGTGTTTATTTCATTGATCGAACAAGCAGCAACACATTTTATGACCATTGTCCTAGGTCATTTGTGTCTTTATGAATTTGCTGATATTGTCAGTCCATTTTTTAAATCTTCAACAAAATTCAATTTTAAGATTAAGAAATCAGAAATTTTAGGTAAAGAATATTCCAAAATTAAATTGTTCTTTTTAAGAAATATATCAGTTTTAGGTCCTTTATTCACACATCAATTTGTTCATCTGGAAGATACTCAAATTCTTATTGGGAATGAATTACACTACAAACAATGAGTTAAGCTAAAACTACATATAACTGAAATTGAGATTTCCATAAGTATTTGTATGTTTCACACCAATGAACCATGCTCAGAGAACAGTAACATGTTTCCCAGTCTATGTTGTGCACCATGGATGTTAGGCAATGTGTGTTATTGCCTACACATTGTATTTGTTAAAATAAATGTTGCTTTTACCTTACCTAATGGTGCTTTTACCTAACTTGAATTGCTCTTTGTGTTCCCACTAGCAAATCATTCTAACAGCAGGCTAACAATGGTGAAATAAAATGAACGTTTTTGGTCCGGGCGCGGTGGCTCACGCCTGTAATCCCAGCACTTTGGGAGGCCAAGGCGGGTGGATCACCTGAGGTTGGGAGTTCGACACCAGCCTGACCAACATGGAGAAACCCTGTCTTTACTAAAAATACAAAATTATCCGGGCATGGTGGTGCACGCGTGTAATCCCAACTACCTGGGAGGCCGAGGCAGGATAATCGCTTGAACCTGGGAGGCAGAGGTTATGGTGAGCTGAGATCGCACCATTGCACTCCAGGCTGGGCAACGAGAGTTAAACTTTGCCTCAGAAAAAAAAAAAATTCAGCAAAATATGTTTGAAGACACAAAACTGCTGAAGATTAAGGCTTCATTTCCATAGTGGAACTCAATGTTCACCTGCTGATTCAAAAATACTGACCTAGTATCAACTAGTGTAGGTAAGACCATAAAATACAGTATATGGAATTATGTATAAATGGAAAACAAAATTGGCTTTTGACATATGTGTAAGACTCTAGAAGGAATCTGCATTTTCTTTCTAGGGACAGCTAGTTTTTCTCCACATGTTTTAAAGGTTGATTGCCTTGACACACATTGGTATCCTTGGGTTTCTGCTTCCTTGAAAAGTTGTGGAGCACAGAAGAAAAGCCTTCTCCTAACAGATAAAAATGTTGAACATATTTATGTTCTGACAATGAAGCAATGATTTCCTCATTGCTTCATATTAAGAAGTGGTTCTTTAATTATGCAAATAATTCAGTGTAACCAAAAATGCTTCAAAGAGTAATAATAAATCACCATAGGTAAGTACTCTCAAGAATGTTTAAATTTGATTTATTTTCTTGAAAGTTATTTAATTTTAAAATTTTTCCATTAAAATGAAACCCACAAAACGACATTCCATGGTACTGAGTATTTTCATATAATCAGAACTGTAAACTACTGATTGTTTTCATATAATCAGAGGCTGAATATTTTGATATAATAAGAACTAGTATCATATAACAGAAAACTAGAAAGAAGATTTAATTCTTTTTTTCTAATATTCTACAAGCCTCATGGGGGAAATGTTTTATGAATTATTCAAATACATTAGATAAAAATTAGTGTCAGTAATTTAACTTTGTACAAATTATAGTCTGAGATCTTCTGAGTTTTCATAAGACAAAGGAGTGTATTATCCAGCAATTTATTATGTTTTGTGTTGTTATAAATGTTCTATTAATGTGTATTTTATTTTACTAAGTTCTAACACAAAAGGCCAAATATTTATCTGTCCTACTATGAAAAATTAAACCTTATTCATCTTGACTTTCACAGATGAAACACTGACCAGTCAATAAACAATAGCCACTGCATTAATCTGCCCAGCATGATCAGATAGTAGGTTAGAATTTGAAATTCATTAATAAAAAACTAATAACAAAACTTTGTAAGCCTTAATGGTTTAATATTTCAGTGTCATTGAAAGTTCCTATTTCAAATTAAAGTACAGCAGGATAATTTTCCTTTCCTGTTTCAAAACAAAAACCAGATGAAGAAAAAACAAAGACAAACTCATAGGAGGAAAGCATGGCTTCACTTCAATTATACTCCTCTTACTCAATATTAGTAACCAAAAAAATAAGCAGAAATTCTCCTCTGCCATAATAAAAAGAAAGAACGGCCTTCAACTTAAGTTCTAGTTCCTCAAGCCTGCTTTCCTTGTAAAACTGATGGTACTAAGAAGCAAAAAAAGCAGAGCTGTGGATTGAAAGTGAACACTACGTAAAATTTGCAGGGTATCCAGGACACCCCTCCATCTTTGATACAAACCAATTTAGTTACTCTGGAGTGAAATGACTTGTGAATACACGGTTCAACCATTACTTTCTGTATGACAAGGAGCACTTATACATGTTTCCAAATGTGAATTAGCCCTTGAATTAGTTTGAAAACTGCTACTTGAATAACTTTTGAAGAGAAAGATTTACTTTCCAGTAATTTTACTCCCTAAAAAGGCAAAATACTCAGATGTTAAATGTGAAATTAAAAATAGTTGTTTGAAGTATATATACTTCAATAAATAGTTATTTGTATATATAAAGTGTTGGTTGATAGCAGTTTCCCTGTCCCTTTTCTTTTTAAAATTCCCAACTGATTACGGGTCCAAAACTCCATCTTATATCAGAGATTTCATTTTAACTATAAGTATAATTTAGTATTGTAGTATTGCTAACTTTAATAATTCTAACATATCTATATATTACCTGTTAGTGAAGTTTTAATGGCTTTCCTTAATACATATTCATCAGCTTAAAAAATCACTAAATTTTTTATACTCTGTAAAATATTTGCATGGGAATTTTAGCATATTATGTTTGCTTAACTGGTGTTTTTTACACTTACGACTGTCAGTTTATGTCTTAATATATTGTCACAGAAGAATGCATACCATTTTTGTTCCAACAAGGACAATCTGTTAGTTGATAAGCATTGGTAATAAATATCACTGAACCCACCTAACCCCTGATATTTCTTCCTCAAGATTTCTATCATGCAAGTCACAAAATGAAAATTGGTGCTTTTATAAATATTCAGAAGCTCTCAATGCAAAATAATAAAAGTGAGATTCTCCCTGGTTGTCTATAATATATTAGGATATGTGACTGAAGGAACTTTAATCTAAATTTAGAGTGTTTTGGGTTTTGGTTGGTTTGAATAATTTGATTTGCATTTTGGTATTAAAATGTGCTCTGATTTCTGCCGGCATTTGTTCTGACCAGTCATTACCTCTTCCTGACAGGAAAAAAAAAAAAAAAATGACATTGGCAAGTTTTAATAAATATGGCCCAAAAATTGCCCTTGAAGGATATTGGTAAACCAGAGCGTATTTAATTAGCTGAATTTACTGTTTCTGAAAAGCAATATTTTCAAATAACTGCCAACCAAAGTGACACTGTAGGAATGTCATTTGTACATGACAATTTTTAACAATGTAATTCTTACCATTCTCAACCGACCTGAACCTGAATATGTTTACTAACTAATAACTTTGCCAAATTTTTCAACTTCTAAAACAACAAGAGTGAGGCTTTTGAACTTAAGTAATCATTTTGCAATTGAAATAAATCTTATCCTTTCGCCAGTACCTTCCATTTAATATACATAGCAATACTTAGTATCATCCCATCACAAGTATTGTTAAGCGACTGACTTAGTGGCTGAGAAATGTTTGTAAAAAGTAGAATCTGTACAGAAAAAACTATATCAATTGTGTTTATTTTTATTATTTTTTAGCTTAGATACTATGTTGATGCTCCCTTTTTGCCAAAATTACTGGAAGTGCCTCTTGGTTTTATATATATAATATATAAATATTATAGTAAATATATACTCGAAATTATTAAAATTATGTCATAGATTATCTGTCGATGTTATGAGTGAAGATAATGTATAATATAAAAATAATTCTGTGGTATTATGATTTATGTAGTATTTGTACAATCCACTTCCTCCAGTCCTCTGAAGGCATCCTTTCCTCTTATATGCAAATACGGTGGTGTGGTACCTAACTTACTCTGTCATGAGACAGACATCTCCTGACCTTCCTACAGTCTCCAAAGAACCTTATGGGGCTTATATTCTCATGGTCACATCTTTCTCACTATCACTAATGAATTCATAGCCACATTTAGTCATCATCTAACTTTCTGCAACTAAGTTGTGTCCTTTCTTTAATCAAATAGCACCGAAGCCAAAATATCCACATTTCTGGCATTCGGCTTTAGAGTCCTATAAAATAGACAGTTGTATTTCTAGCTAAGTTTCCTAAGGAACTGATTCTTCTTTCTAGCTAAGTTTCCTAAGGAACTGATTCTTCAATCTACACCTATTATTTCCCCGTTACCTATGATATCAAATCCCAACTCCTTAGCCTAGTGTTTTCAAATCTCCCTTTGCTCTGGCCTGAAACTACCCTCTCCAGCTTCCTGCTCCAAAAGGAACCTTCCACTTATCATTTATATTTATTTATCTCGGGCAAATACATCAGTTGAGTTAATGCACACTTTCTATATACATATACTTTCTCTCTCTCTCTCTCTCTCTCACACACACACACACTTCCAACTGTACACAGCACAAGAAGACGAGTTTGACTACCTC